ATGACACCTGGCAAATCTGTTGGCAATGCTCCACACCTTTTATTTCCCCTTTGAAATTAATTTTACATGAACTTTATTTTGGTACTCTGCTTCTAGTGGATCCAACACAAGGCTCAGTCATACCTGCTTCCTGTTGCTGCTGTTTTCCTTTTGGAAACTTTAAGGGTCAGAATTATAAAATGTTCCATGTTTCTAAATGAAGTAGGATGCAGTGACATAATCAGTAATGTGATATACTCATCCATATCAGCAATCACATCTGGAACAATAAATGTTTTAAGATTAAAAGGTCAATGTTACTCTATTGGGAAGTCATGGACAGACTCCGTTTTTTATTAGTCTGCATTAGTTGCTTTGATAGTTCAATTGAAAGTCAGTTTTCTTGGCCAGCAGTTTGCACTGTGTTAGATGCTGTATCCTGTGCACCAAAATCCCTTGCTGTGTGTTTCTTTTCTAACTATAAAACTCTGTGTGGTACACCCAATGAAAGATTTGTAAACATAGATGGAAATCCCCTGCAATAACAAACTAATATAAAAGGACAAAAATCTACCCTGTAACAGTTCACACTGCAGTTGGTTATCTCCCCATTACAAGAATTTATTCCAGCAGACAACAGGGCAGGGGCTGAAAAGAATTTATGAAGCATAAAGTTCCACTACTTGGCAAGGCTGAAACTCCCCCAGTTTGGCACCAGCACCTAGTTTTACAAGATTAAACAAGGTGAAATGACACGAGACATCAAGGTTTTCGAATGATTCCGGTCACTGAATGAGAAACAAGTAAGATGTTGCAACACGGTTTTTTAAACCTTACGATGAACTTACCATGACTTTAAAGACAGAAATCCATAAAATTATCTACACCTTTCTTTGATGAGGTCCATGGTTTTAGTATGATTTTATCATGCAATATGATTAATCTTTTCTTTCAATTTTAATCCAGTTTTGGGCTGGCTCAGTCAGTCAGACTTTCATCTTTGAGTCAGCAGGTTCTGCCCACAACCTCTGGAATTTCATTCCCCAGTCACTCCACCTCGCCCCCTCCTTAGCCTCCTTCAAGTCCCACCTCAAGACCCTCCTCTTCGACCATGCCATCGGCCACCCCCCTTCCCCTCCCCTCCCTTCTCCCCCCCCTGACCCCAGCTCGGGTTTGAAATGCTGTACACTGTCCAGTGCCTTTGGACGTCCTCACGATGTGAAAGGCGCGATACAAATGTAATCTTATTGTTGTTGTTCTTGTTGTTTCAACTCTAGGTTAACAATCCTCCAGACAAAAAACAACTGGTCATTCACTTCGTGACTGTTTGTGGGACATTGCTGTTTGCACATTGGCTGTGCATTGGACTAAAAATACACAATCACTACACTTTACAGAAAACCCCGAGGAAGACTTTAATGCAATTTGATGTAATAAGGCACCATATATACAAAATACAATACAATTTAAATGTATATAGTGCATTTCATGTCGGGTGAATATCTCAAAGTGCCTATATCAAATGTAAGGATTATTATTGATTATTATAAGTTCTAATAACTATAATTTCTGTGACATTCTGAGAGTTGAGTACTAGTCCTAATCATCAAGTGAGTTATGTTTTACGCTTGGAAATTTAGAGAAGTCGAAGACACAGCAAGGTGTTTGCATGGGCTAAAATGAATAAAATATCTCTGATTTGACTAACAGCAAAGAAAACTATAAATGTGACAAATTATAAGTAGAGAACAGTATCATTAAAGAAAACACATAGACACTGACTCTCAGCAACTGTCTTGGCAACCTGTTTCCATCTGCTTTATATAATTTATTGTGACCTCTGCAAAACTCAAATACAGCAGTAGTTAAACCCATTGGCAGAAACAACAACAACAACAGGATTGCATTTATAGAGCGCCTTTCACGTCGGGAGGACGTCCCAAGGCGCTGGACAGTTGGGTTGGGATCCGAGTAGGGGGGAAATGGTCAGGGTGAGGGGAGGGAAGGGAGGGAGCGAGGAGGGGGTAGAGAGTCGAGAGGGGAGCTGAAGGCACGGTCAAAGAGAAAGGTCTTGAGACCGGTCTTGAAGGAGGAAAGGGAGGAGGCGGCGAAGGCACTGGGGGATGGAGTTCCAGAGCCCAGGGGCTGAGAGGCTGAAGGCTCGGCCACCGATGGTAGGGCGGTTGGGGCGGGGGATGTGGAGCAGACCGGAGCCAGAGGAACGGAGGGTACGGGCAGGTAGGTAGGGAGATAGTAGGTCGGAGAGGTAGGAGGGAGCAAGGCCGTGAATGGCTTTGTAGGTGAGGATGAGGATCTTGAAATCAATCCTCTGGGGGATGGGGAGCCAGTGGAGGCGAGCGAGGGGGTCTGATGTGATCCCGAAGTCTGGTGCGGGACAGTACACGAGCTGCAGAGTTCTAAATGACCTGCAGCTTGTGGAGGGAGGTGCCGGGAAGGCCGGCGAGGAGAGAGTTCCCATAATCCAGCCTTGAGGTGACAAAGGCGTGGACCAGAGTTTCAGCAGCGTGAGGGGTGAGGTAGTGCCGTATTCTGGCGATGTTCCGGAGGTGGTGGTAGGCGGTGCCAGTTGTGGGGCGGATGTGGGGAAGAAGCTCCAGAGACAACAATGTCTTGTCATTCTGTTTGTTGTTGAGTTGAAAAAGCAATTTTAATTGTGAGCAAAAATGTTATTAAAGTTGTTGAAAAGTTACGATGTGTATGTTGTGCCCTTAAGACTTTTTAAAAGCAAGGGCCAGAATTAAGTAGAATTAAGTATTCTACTGTGTTTACCTAAAATGCCAATGAATGAGGTTGAGTAAATTGAGTAAGAAACAGTTACTATTTAGATACTTTCTCAAATATCTTCAGGATTTATCAGACATGTAAAATCAGAGTGAAACCTACTGATTTTGATTTTAGAAATGTAATCTACTTATGCACAACCTGTTTCATCCTTTAGGCTCATAAATATTTCTAATATTTTCAGCAGTCTGGACATTAGCTGAGATTTCATACAGCATCACTATGGTTTTCTGCTGAACCTCAAACCAAATTCATGGCCAACTTTCAGTTCTGTATGACATGGACAACCTACACCTGAACAACAACAACAAAATTACATTTGTATAGCGCCTTTCATGTCAGGAGGACGTCCCAAGGCGCTGGACACACAGAGTTACGGACCCGCTCTGGGGTCGGGGTGGGAGAGGTGGGAGGGCAGGGGTGGGAAGCAGGGAGATCGAAAGCATGGTCGAAGAGGAGGGTCTTGAGATGGGTCTGGAAGGTTGCGAGGGTGGTGGCGAGATGGAGGGACTGTGGGATGGAGTTCCAGAGGGTGGGTGCAGAGTGGCAGAAGGTTGGCACTAATCTCCTCACTGTGAAAATAACTGCCACTGCAGCAGTGGACTTAAACGAATATGGTGGCGGGCGGGAAGAAATATGATGGGAATGGGGCAGTACCGACATGCAGAGAGCAAGATAACCTTGACTCATGTGGAGTATAAACACTGTCACAGAATGGTTTGGGATGAATGGCTCGTTTTCAGTAAATCTTTGTAACTTTCAGCATTTGGCCATTACAGTAACTTTAATGAAAGGGAAAACATGTAGATTCTCAAGATCATGCAAAATAATTTTAAAGCGAGCACACAGCTTGTTTTTAAGGAAGAAGTGGAGTCCTGTAGCTCAGTGGTTGAGCACTCGCTTTGCAAGTGAGAGACCTGAGTTCAATTCCAGGCAGAGGGCGAAACCTTGGGCAAGTTTCCTTACTCCACACAGAGCCTAATAATAATCCCTCCAAAAAAAACCAAAAACAATAATAAATTGGTCATTTTCAATCTACGACTGTTTGTGGGACATTGCTGTGCGCAATTGGCTGCCGCGTTCGCCCACAAATATACAGTCAATTCACTTTACAGTGTGTTCTGTGAAGCGCTTTGGGACGTCCTCCTGACGTGAAAAGCGCTATATCAAATGCAAGGATTATTATTATTATTATTATAAGAAATTGGCCTACACTTTAAATGGTGAATGAGATTTTTTTAGAGAAATTTTTAGGTAATCGAATCCAGGTCTCTCGCTCGTCCTCAAAACATACAGTCAATCTAATGATGTGATAAGGCGCTTTATGGAGTCCTATAGCTGAGTGATTAGAGCACTCGCCTCACAAGTGAGAGACCTGGGTTTGATTACTGGCAGGGCCAAACGTTGGGCACGCCTCTGCTACGTAGCAGTAACTAGGAACCAGGTTTTCCAGCGCCTTGCGACGTCCTCCCGACATGAAAGGCGCTTATACAAATGTAATTTTGTTGTTATTGTTGTCAGCAGTCGGTTAATAATCCCTTCAAAAAAAATTGATCACTCAAACCACGACTGTTTGTGGGACGCTGCTGCGGTCGATTGGCTGCCGCGCTTCGCCCGCGAAACACACAGTCGGTGCCCTTCACAGCCTGTACCGTGAGGACGCTTCGAGACGTCTCGAAGACGCGACGAGGGGCCGTATCAAACGCGGGGATGATTGCTACCGTTGTTATTGTTATTGTCATTATTATGCATGATGTGATTTATTCACGCGTTATTTATTTGCAGTTTCCCAGTTAAAAAAAGAGAGGAAAAGCCGGCCAGACTTTCGAGAAAAAAACATTGCATTTGCAGGTAATGCAAAAAAAAAAGACCCTCCCTCCCTCCCACTCACTCACTCACACACACACAAGCACATTGCAATGCTGGAGTGCAACGTGCTTCCCACCCAGCAACGGTGCACTTGCTGCTGCAGGTCAGGTCAGTGCGGTGCAGTGGGTGCAGTGCAGTGCGGGGGGGGCGGGGGGGCGGGGCGGGCGGTTTGATTGACAGGCGGCGGACTCGCGGCCTCGGAGCGCGTCAGGGCCGCGGCTTCCGGGCGCGACCGGAAATTGCCGAGAGGCGCCGGAGCGGCCCGAGCGGCGGCCGATCGCCGCAAGAACCGGAGAGCGCGAGAGAGAGAGAGAGAGAGAAAAAGAGGCAGAGAGTGAGTGAGTGTGTGTGAGAGAGAGAGAGAGCGAGAGAGTGGGGGTGTGGGGGAAAGACAGTTGAAACGGCTGAAGTTGTGGCGGCGGCGGCGACGGACCTTGTTATCGGGAGTCGTCGGGGGTGAGTGGGTGTGTGGGGGAGAGGGGGAGGGCGGCGGTGAGCAGAAGCGGCCGCTCTGTGTGAGGTGGGGGAGGGGCGCCGCTGCTGCTGCTTTTTGTTGTAATTGTATTTTGGGGGAGAAAAGGAAAGAGGGGGGGAGGGGAGTGAGGGGGAGGGGAGTGTGAGGGGGAGGGGAGTGAGGGGGGAGGGGAGTGAGGGGGAGGAGGGGAGTGGGGGGAGGAGGGGAGTGTGAGGGGAGTGGAGGAGTGAGGGGGGAGTGGAGGAGTGAGGGGGAGGGGAGTGTGAGGGGGAGGGGAGTGTGGGAGGAGGGGAGTGTGAGGGGAGTGAGGGGGGAGGGGAGTGAGGGGGGAGGGGAGTGGGGGGAGGAGGGGAGTGAGGGGGAGGGGAGTGTGAGGGGGAGGGGAGTGGGGGAGAGTGAGAGGGGAGAGGGAGGGAAGAGGAGGAAGGGGCGGGCAGAGGGAGGGGATAGAGAGAGGGGGAGGGGGAGAGAAAGGGGGAGGGGAGAGAGAGTGCGATGGAAGGGGGAGAGGAAGGGAGGGGAGAGAGGGGGGGACGGAGAGGGAGATGAGGAGGAGAGGGGGTGGGGGAGAGAGAAGGGGGAGTGGGAATAGTGGAGGGAGAAGGGGAGTGAGAGAGAGGGGAAAGAGGTAGGTGGAGTGAAAGAGAGAGCGATTGAGGGAGTGAGTGAATGAGGGGGGAGGTAGGGAAGAGTGGGGGAGAAAGAGGGTGAGTGAGGGGAATGGGGGAAAGGGGAAATGGTCTTATTTTGGGCCATAAAAAAAGCTCCTGGGAGCTATGAACCCTGATTCCATGGGAGAGAGAGTGGGGAGCTGAGGGGGGGGGGGACCTTCACACAGCAGCTGGTAATGATGGTAATGGGTTGTGTCTTTACTTTTGAGGGGTTTACTTTTGTGTGAACCCTCCTGTTATAAGCTATTGTTATATTTTAAAAAGAAACTTTGTGTTTTGGTTTGGGCAGAGTTTAATGGTTGGTTTAGGGGTGGTTTGGAGTTGCCGGAGAATATTTCCTGCTGTTTGAGAAGCTGTACGTGTAATATTTATGTATTGCTTTGGAAGGCACTGTGTGGCGGTGGCCAGTGTGACTGACTCTCTCTACAGCATAAATAAATGGTACAGCATTACCTCTGGATCGTATATTAAGTTAAACCTCTATTTAGAGCTCCCCAAGGTGATTGGGTAATGTTAAACAAAGAGATTTAAATAGAGATTCCATCTTCCTTATTCTTCTGCCTCTTTTATCCTCCTCCCCCCCACCTATCTGCTCCCCATGTCCTCCCCTGTCTTTGGCCCAGCTGGGCTGCACCGCAAAGATGACCAGAATTGAACTTGTGCTCCACTGCATAACTTTCTCTTCCCCCCTCCATTCCCCCGTCCTGCGCCTTTTTTTTCTTATATAACTGCTGAAGGATCTGGAAAAGTTCCACTTGGTAAAAGAACATTTGAAACTGTGCGATGTGTTTTTGAACCAGTGCAAGTTTGGCATCAGGTGATGTCACCCGGGAAGTGCAAGTGAGATTCTGAAAGCTTACCAGTGTGGTTCACTGTTGGAACAGCCTGTTTATTAGGAGATAACGTGGCAGGGACTCTGGGAGACACCAAATATTTCACGAATGATCTGACTATGTAATGTAGGCACGCACTCTACCTTTACGACAGATTAATTTGGGAGCTAACTTGTGGAAATCGTCTTTAATTCTTTTTAAATTTGCATATCCAATCACACAGTTGGTACAAAAGTCCTGTTGTCTGATTGGATTTTCTTGAATCGTGAAGTGAGAATCTTTGGTATGAGGTGAAGCTGTTGCATGGTTATAGGTCATAACATTAGCTGGAGACTTTGTTTTACAACATACTTTTAATGTTTTATGCCAATAACTGATGAGAAAATAGCCCAATTAATGAATTGTTTGGTTGAACTGAGAAAGCGACAACAGCAAATTACATTTGTATAGCGCCTTTCACGTCAGGAGGACATCCCAAGGCGCTGGACGGTCAGGGATCTCCACAAATGACATATCCTTGCTGGTCCTTGTATGCTATACAAATCTGGGTTGTTAATATGAATGTGCTCTTACATTTATTTTCCCACCTTGACTGGTATTAAGTGGACTTTGTGGGGCAAATGTTATCCTTGTTTGCATGGGTTTAGGATGAGGTATTTTATTCGTTTGGGAGTCTCCCCGAAAATCAAAATTGATGGGAAGGTTGGGGAGCGTGAGGGAGAGAAGTAAATGTCAATGTTTTAAGATTGTTTTTTGCTTTCTTTAACAAACATTGATCGAAAAATATTGAAAGTGAAAGTTTGAAAATAGAGATTGAACAAAGTATAAAATAATAAATAGGTGTGGGGAAGAGAAGCGGCCTACAGAAATTGTTTTAATGGCTAATCCAGACAGGTACAAGGAAAATCTATTCTTTTAATTTTATTTATATATTCAGAAACAATGTCTGGTGAAATAGTTTTGGTAGTTGTTTCGCTGATAATTGTTTCATTAATGCACTTCAAAGGGACATTTCCTAGTAGCTTTAAAATGAGTCATATAAAACTGGTGCAATATCTCCTTAGAATATTACAACATGGCTTCTTAATGTAATAGAACCTGACAAACTTCTACCAATTGTGGTTGCTTTGATTTTATTTATAAAATATCTATATTCAAAAATTATTTGGGGAGGACTAGAAAATTATTTGGGGAGGACAAGTTTGCAGGGCTATGGGGAGAGCACGGGGGAGTGGGATTGATTTGGATAGCTCTTTTCAAAGTAACGGCACAAACCTGATGGGCTGAATGGTCTTCTTCTGTGCTCTATGATTCTATAATTCTATGATATTGTTTACAAAATATACAGTTAATTCACTTTACAGTATATTCTGTGAAGTAGTTTGAGACGTCTCAAAGACGTGATCAGGAGCTTTACCAAATGCAAGGATTATTGTTATAATAGTTGGAGATATGGTGTGATGTTACATAATACAATTTCTGCTGATCCATGGAAAGTTCGTAACCAAAATGATTCATCAGAGTTGATTTCCTGACAGTCGGGGAATATGCTTTGGTTACTAGCTGGAATTCCCACTTGCAGAAGTCTTAATTTTTTTCTTAGAAATTCTATCAAAACATGCTGAAAAAGGTAAATTGTCGGGTCTTAAAACCGATAAATCCCCTGGACCGGATGGCCTGCATCCGAGAGTTTTAAAGGAGGTGGCTACTGAGATAGTGGATGGCATGTCTATAATCTTCCAAAAGTCTGTGGATACTGGAAAAGTTCCCATTGATTGGAAGATTGCAAACGTAACTCCACTATTTAAGAAGGGTGGGAGAGAAAATAGGGAAAACTATAGACCAGTTAGTTTGACGTCAGTTGTAGGGAAAATTCTTGAGTCCTTAATAAAAGACGTAGTTATGGGATACCTGGAAGACCATAAAAAGATTAGGCAGAGTCAACATGGCTTTACAAAAGGGAAGTCATGCTTGACTAACCTTTTAGAATTTTTTGAGGATGTATCCAGCAGGTTGGATAAGGGGGAACCAGTAGATGTGGTATATTTGGATTTTAGGAAGGCATTTGACAAGGTGCCACACAAAAGGCTGTTACTCAAGATCAAGGCCCACGGGATTAATGGGAAAATATTAACATGGATAGAAGAGTGGCTATCGGGTAGAAAGCAGAGAGTAGTGATAAACGGATCATTCTCGAATTGGCAGGATGTAACTAGTGGAGTGCCACAAGGATCAGTGCTTGGGCCTCAGCTATTTACCATTTACATCAATGATCTGGACGAGGACATTGAATGTAATGTGTCTAAATTCGCGGATGATACTAAACTAGGTAGCAGAGTGAGCTCTCAGGATGATGCAAAAAGATTGCAACAAGATATAGATAGGCGAGGGGAGTGGGCAAGTAGGTGGCAGATGGAATTCAATGTTAGCAAGTGTGAAATTATTCACCTAGGTAGCAAGAATAAAAGAACAGATTATTTTCTGGAAGGGGAGAAGTTAGATAGAGTTAGTATTCAAAGGGATTTGGGTGTCCTTGTACACCAGTCCCAAAAAGTTAGTTTGCAGGTGCAGCAAGCAACTAAGAAGGCGAACGGCATGTTAGCGTTCATTTCGAAAGGTTTAGAATATAAGAGTAGGGAAGTCTTGCTGCAACTGTATAGGGCTTTGGTGAGACCGCACCGAAAGTATTGTGTGCAGTTTTGGTCTCCTTATTTAAAAAAGGACATACTTGCCCTGGAGGGGTTGCAGCGTAGATTCACTCGGTTAGTTCCTGGGATGAGGGGACTGACTATGAGGATAGGCTGAATAAACTAGGGCTGTATTCTCTAGAGTACAGAAGAATTAGGGGGATCTTATTGAAACTTATAAGATTCTTAAAGGGCTGATAAAGTAGACACTGAGGGTCTGTTTCCCCTGGTAGGAGAATCTATAACCAGGGGTCACAGTCTTAAAATTAAGGGTCAGCCTTTAGAACAGAGTTGAGGAAACATTTCTTCACTCAGAGGGTAGTGAACTTATGGAATTCACTACCCCAGAAGGCTGTAGATGCTCAGTCCTTGAACATTTTCAAGGCTGAGACTGATAGATTCTTGAAAAATAGAGGGATTAGGGGATATGGGGATAGGGCAGGTAATCAGAGTTAGGTGAGAAGATCAGCCATGATCTTATTGAATGGCGGAGCAGGCACGAAGGGCCGAATGGCCTACTCCTGCTCCTAATTCTTATGTTCTTATGTTCTTATGGTAATTTTTGAGTTTTCCTCTGAATAATTGGAAAGGTTTTTCCAGTAGGCCCCAGTTGAAGCCTGAGTCCTGATTTGCATATCTTTCTGTAACTGTTTAGCATGTAGGAAACCAAAATAGGGAAAATAAAAGGTAAGAGAGATACAGAGAAAATAAATGAATATGCTTTAAATTTTAGGCAAGTAATTTGTTTTAAACTTAACCTTAAATCCAGCTGATCTCTCAAGTATAGTAC